ATGTGAGTGCGCTACATGCGATTAGTCTGTCCGATGGCATTGCTGCGCAAGCCAGAGGCTTCCTAGCTGAATGAGATTCCTTGTTTAATGAAGCGAGTGCCTCGTGAGGGGTTAAAGGATAAAAACTATCAATGCCAGTGATGATGACGACTACGATCATGGTGATGATGGTGTTGATAATGCTGGTGCTGATGATGACGCGGAGTCGGATGATGCTGATGATGATGCTGCTGCAGCTAATGCTGACGCGGATGCTGATGCTGATGATGCAGCTGCTGATGGTCAGGCTGATGATGCTGATGATGCGTATGATGATGGTGGTGATGATGATGGTGCTGGTGGTCATGATGATGATGATAATGATGATGATGATGCTGACGATGATGATGATGATGATGATGATGATGATGATGATGATGATGATGATGATGATGATGATGATGATGATGATGATGATGATGATGATGATGATGATGATGATGATGATGATGATGCTGATGATGGTGATGCTGTTCATCATGATGCGGATGCTGCTGCTGCTGCTGATGATGATGGTGGTAATGCTGATCTCCCGTCCCGCCCTTGCTCCTCGGCGTCTCCGGGTCTCGCAGGCAGGGTCAGGCTGACTGTCGTGGCGAGCAGGACGGCGCCGCGGCCCGCCAGCCTCGCCCCGCGTAGGCCCAGGGGAGGGGCCAGGAGGAGGGGTGACCTGAAGTCGGGCCTGTCCTTCTACAGGATAAATGTTCAAGGATAGTAAAAATATCGTAGGGGGGCGATTTTTTAGACGATCTTCGGCTATTTTCGAATATTTTCGAATTTGGCTCATTTTTCGTCCAAGGTCCGCCTGTAGCAGGACGTGCCCGACCTAACGGTAACCTCTGAACAAAGGGAAGGACGGGTTTCGGAACAGAGAAGACGAGCGTTCTTTAAACCACCTGCGCCCGCAGGGCTGGTTGGGTTTCGGAGCGGATCAACATGATTTGATCAGGTTTGCCGTGCCGATGTTCCCGTACGTCCCCTGGTGATCACCGATCACGACAGCGTTGTCAGTGAGAACCTGGTCATTCCGATGGCCTGTTGGGAGGCTTGCTCGGGTTTTCTTTGCGTCCGCGATTCAGGAAACTCTCTAATTGAGTCTCGTCGCCGGCAGGTTTTCCAACACCCAGGTCAGTACGCCCGTGGCTGGTCTTCGTCAGGGGTAGCTTTTGATGCTCTGGTGAGTGAGGAAAGGGAATGGAGCGGAGGGGCTGGTCGACGGGGAAGGAGAGTACACATTCGCGATACGACTCGGCGGTCATGCCGATCATGCCGGTCGGCCAAGGATAAGCAGGATACTTCCGACCGATCACGATCGAACCATTGACCCATGGAGACGTTGATGAGCAAGCATCTTTCCATTTTTCGCGAAGCCAGTCTCATCGGTCTTTTTGCCCAATGACCGCGAGAGTTGCTGCCGCCTCGTCGCCCCTCCACGCACGCACCCTTGGCACCCTTTGACTTGTCCCTCTGTGCTGCCCAGCACCGTGCCTTTGCTCCGAAGGACTCTTCGCTCTCGACTCCGTTGCGCATGCCCCCGTGCAGGGATGGAGGCAGGGATGGGGGGGGAAAGCGAAGGAGGGGAGGCGGGGGAGGGGAGAGCGCGCGCATGCGGAGGTGATCGAGGAGAGATGGCGATGGCAGGGGACGGAGGACGGGGGAGGGAGGGAGGGAGAGGGGGGTCAGGGGGAACGGCTGGCGAGGGGCAGCCCTTTTTTCCCTCCTCCCTCCGCAGCCCTTTTTTCCCTCCTCCCTCCGCCCCCCCCCCCGCTCCCCGCAAGGAGCCCGCACGGCGAGGTGTCGGTGCCTTGGAGTACCAAGGACGGCGCCCACTGCGAGCAGGGCAAGCAAGAATCTTGAGCTGGTCCCCCTTGTGCCCCTGAGGCGAGAGGCGGCGCGCGACGAAGGCCGCGGCGCAGCGGCAAGAGGTTGCTGCTGATGGTGGCGGTGGTTCGTTGGGAGGAAGAACAAGAGGAGGAGAAGAGGAGGAGGACGAGGATAGTGAGGAGGAGGAGGAGGAGGAGGAGGAGGAGGAGGAGGAGGAGGAGGAGGAGGAGGAGGAGGAGGAGGCGGAGGCGGAGGAGGAGGAGGAGGAGGAGGAGGAGGAGGAGGAGGAGGAGGAGGAGGAGGAGGAGGAGGAGGAGGAGGAGGAGGAGGAGGAGGAGGAGGAGGAGGAGGGGGGGAGGAGGGGGAGGAGGGGGGGAGGAGGGAAGAGGAACCGCTTCAAACCGTCTGCGCCCAGGGGGCTGGTGACCTTCACGAGGGCGCCACAGCTTTCCGTCGAGAGCCCGCCAGGAAAACGAGGGCCTCTCCTCGGTGCAGGCGGTGCACACTTCCGGCAGTGCCAGGCAGGGGCAAAAGGGCGGGGGGAGGGGCGGCCGCCCGAGGACGGGACGGCCAAGGCCGAGGCGGCGGACGTCAGGGATCCGCGGTACGTGCGGAGCGAGGGCGTGCTGAGGTTCAGGCCGGCCCCGGGAGGGGGGGAGGACGGGTAGGAGGGGTAGGACGGGTAGGACGGGGAGGACGGGGTAGGACGGGTAGGACGGGTAGGACGGGTAGGACGGGGAGGAGGGGTAGGACGGGTAGGACGGGGAGGACGGGGTAGGACGGGTAGGACGGGGAGGGCGGGGGGAAGAGGAGGACGGTCAGGACGGGCAGGAGGGGAGGAGGAGGAGGAGGAGGAAGAGGACGGGTAGGACGGGGAGGGGGAGGGGGAGGAGGATGCGGATGCGGATGGGGAGGAGAAGGGTGTTGCTGCTGCTGTTATGCTGCTGCTGCTGCTGATGACGGTGATGATGATGATGATGATGATGATGATGATGATGATGATGATGATGATGATGATGATGATGATGATGATGATGATGATGATGATGATGATGATGGCGGTGGTGATGATGATCATGATGCTGATGATGATGGTGATGGCGACGGCGATGGTGATGGTGGTGATGATGATGCTGATGATGATGCTGATGATTGATTGATGCTGCTGCTGATGCTGATGCTGATGATGATGGTGTTGCTGCTGCTGATGATGATATGAGGCTGAGGATGATGATGCTAATTATTATCATGATGATGGTGATGGTGATGGTGGTGATGATGCTGATCATGCTGATCATGCTGATGCTGATGATGCTGATGATGCTGATGATGATGATGATAAGGATGATGGTGATGATGATGCTGCTGATGATGATGATGCTGATGATGATGATGATGATGATCATGATGATGCTGATGATGATGCTGCTGCTGCTGATGATGATGATGATGATGATGATGATGGTGATGACGATGGTACTGCTGATGATGCTGCTCATGATGATGAGGAGCAGGAGGAGGAGAAGGAGGGGAGACCGAAGGCTTATCAACGACATTGTAGTGGACCCTCTCTCCAAGTTCCCTCTTCATAGGCCCCTGCAGGGAATCATGCGTTTTCGCAGAGGGAAGTGCCACGTTGGAAGACAATCGTTTGAAAATCTGGAGCTGTGCCAGAACGCCATGCCTGGGATGTCAACGCCGCATCACGGTTACTGCTGAGTTTTGACGAGTCCGAACCGTGCCAGAACGCTATTCCTGCGATGTCGACACCGCGAATCAACGTGACTGTTGCGCCCCGACGCTCCGACATCGTGCCAAAAACATTTCTTCTTGGAAATTAACCATGAGAATCTTTGAATGTGTTGCAAGCTCGCAGAACGAATGTACGTGCCCTCCATCCGCGAAGCTCGGGCAACTTTGAAAGACGAGTGTGCGCGGCGCTGAGGCGAGAGACACATTTTGAAAACGACCCGCCTCTAGATGTGAAGTTCGTGAAATTTATAAGCTTCAGGATCAGAAATGGTGAGGACGTCTCAGGCGAACCGTCCGCCCGCTCTTTCGACCGGCCTCGGGATGCGACAGGCAGGAATTACCTGTAAGGAAGAGAGATGGAGGAGGAGGACGAGAAGGAGGAGGAGGATGAGGAGGAGAAGGTCCAATGTAAACCCAAGACTCATCAACGATGCTGGAAGAAACCCTTCCCCCAAGCTCCCTCTTCATAGGCCCCTACAAGGGTTCATCTCCACAGGGAACTGCCTCGTTGGGAGACAACCGTTTGAAGACCCTGAAGCGTGCCAAAACACCATTCCTGGGACTCCAGCGCCACGAATCAATCTGTTTGTTGCGTCTGGACGATCCGGAATCGTGCCAGAAGCCGTTCCTGGGACTTCAACACGGCGAATTAGCGTAGCTGTTTCGCCCTCACAGTTCTGAGTCCTTCCAGAACGCTGCTTCTGGCAGGTTGATAATGGAAATCCGCGAACCTCTTGTCAGAGTTTTAGACGAGTGTGCGCAGCGCTAATGCGAAAGTCACACTTCGAACAGGATTCATTATATATATATATATATATATATATATATATATATATAAAAGAAGAATGCACGCGGCGCCAAGGCGAGAGCCACATTTTGAAATCGAGCATTCTACGATTAAAACGTGGAATAATAATATGACTACGAATCATAATAACTAATGCTAATAGTAAGCATGATAATGCGAATGCCAATATTATAAAGGAGAAGACGAACACTATTTCTAATAAGAACAGTAATAACAAACATAAGAGGATGATGAGGAGGAGTAGAAAGAGGAGGAGGAGAAGGAGGAGGAGGAGGAGGAGCAGGAGGAGGAACAGGTGGAGGAGGAGGAGGAGGAAGAGGAGGAGGAGGAGGATGAGGAATCCGTAGGCATTTGGCTCAAGCCGTTGCCTGGGGCCATCGCCTTCCATGGAGTTGGACCTCAAGGTGGTCGAGGGACCCGCGCGACCTCGACCAGAAACCGTGCCACGGGTGGGGCCCTACTCTCGCGAGATTTCGTGTCTGTTTGTTTCCACGGAGTTTTTGGAAGCCGCGCGATGTCAGGAGGCTGGCATGACGCGACAGTCTGGAAGTGCAGCCACTATGGATGCGGGAAATCTGCGATGGCGAAGGCTTGGTGCAAGCACTGCCACTGCCACTGGGAGACGGGCAAGCCCAAGAAAACCAAGGGCAAGGGCAAGAATGTGGAGGCTCCTCCTGGCCTGGGTGGCGTCGGGGGTGCTGGCGGCGATGTGCGTGGCCCTCCTTTTCCCGTCGGTCTTTTGCAAGCATCAGCTGACCTCGTGCTGGAGCTGTTGGTTGCCGAGATTAAACAATTCGTCGAACTCGGCAAGAAGAGCAACAATAGCAGTCTGATCGAATGCTACCAGCAGGTGCTGGCCACCAAGGAAAAGCAGTCGGTGCCTTCCAGGTCAGGGCTGACCAGGCGCAGAAGTGCATCAAACAGTTCGAGGCAGACCTTGCCAAATAATCGAGTGCGCTCGAGCAGCTGCAGGGCCAGGTTCGCGCGCAGGAGCAGAAGGTCAAGGCCTTGCTGAGCCAGATCGAGAGCCACGAGGAGGTCTACAAGGAGGCGATGAAGGAACTGCACGCGGTGGTCGTGCCACTGCCGCAGCCCACGCAGCAGATCCCCGCGCTCAGCGGGGGCGATCTGCTCGAGGGCAAGATGCAGGAGTGGATGCTGTCTTGCGGTGAGGACCTCTTCGACCTGGCGGACTTCGCGGACGTGGCGGGGTCGGACCGCGCGGAGGCGAAGAAACGCGAGGAGCAGCTCAAGGAACAGTTCCAGTCGCTTGCGCAGACGATGTACAGCGATGTCAAGCAGAAGGCGGAGCAGTGCAGGAAGGATCGCGAGGAGCTCAAGGCCTGTTTGCATTCCAAGCGGCGGCGCCAGCAGGGTCCTGACGGCCCAGGGCGCCAAGCGCAGCAGGCGTTGGCGGCGCGGGCGGTGCCCGCGCGGCGGGGCCTCGCCCCCAGGGCCTTTTCTCGCGAAAGTGCTACTTGGCTCGAGTGTGATCTGGGAGCTTGCGTTTTCCAGGCTGTGGCGACAGTCGTTCTCCAGATCTGGTCTAACACGGCCGGGTCGTCCCAGGGGCTGCCACGCAACTTATTCGGTGCCGCGTTCTTCGCGACAGATTTGCTGCTTTGGAAAAGTTGAGACGGGGTGGGGGGGCCAGACATCGGAGTGCTTACGCGTTGTTGTCTTGGAACATGTCTGTTCGATTTCGCAATAATATGTTATTCCCGTCATTTCTTGTGTAAAAAAATATTCTTCACGCTTCGCGTGCCCCCACTAGTCCACTCCAAAACCTTGTCCTACAGAGCTGACGCGAAAAGGGGACGGATATACACATCTCGGGAAACAAAGCGTGCAAGGGGGTGGCCTTGGAAGGCCATCTCGGGCCATCCCTGGGTGCCGCGTGGGGGCGAGGGGAAGAGGAGGAGGAGGAGGAGGAGGAGGAGGAGGAGGAGGAGGAAAAGGAGGAAGAGGAGGAGGAGGAGGAGGAGGAGGAGGAGGAGGAGGAAGAGGAGGAGGAAGAGGAGGAGGAGGATGACGAGGAGGACGAGGAGGACGAGTACTCGGATGAGGACAAGGACGAGGAGGAAGAGGAGGAGGACTAGGATAAGACGACGCGCTGCTGCTGCTGGTGCTCTTTGGGAGTTTGGGGGGCCTTCTTGGAACCCTTTCGGTAACCTTGGAGAGCTTCTTGGGATCACGTGCCATCGATTACAGGGTGGGGGGGTCCCCAACTCAGCTCCCCCCGTCAGGAGCCGACAAACCGCTTCTTTGGGCTCTCTTGGAACGCTCTTGGGCGCTCTTGGAGCGGTTTTGGGGCCGTCTGGAACATCTTGGGAGCCATCTTGAGCCAGCTTGGGCTATCAGAGCCATCTTGGAGGTCATTTTGGGCTCTCTAAGGCCGCTCGGGGGCCTCTTGGGTGCCTCTCGGGTGCCTCTTGGGCCTTCTTGGGGCCCTCTTGGAACCCTCTTGGGGCTCTCGTGGGGCTCTTTCGGGGACCCTGGAGCGCCTCTTGGGGCAATCTTCAAGGCTATCGATCAAATAAGGGAGGGTCTAGATCGAGCCCCCCGCCCTTCGAGGGCCACGATCCTTGTGAGGGGTGTCAACACTTGGCCCTCCCAGGGGCCGACAAAGGACCCTCTAACCGATCGCGGCCCCTCCCGTCCAGGTCCAGGGGAGGGGGTAGGTGGAGGGGTAAACCCCTCCGCGAAGGGGAAGAAGGGTTTTTGGAAGAGGAATCAAAGGCATCTTTAGACAACCTGCGTCCAGAGGGTTGGTGGGATCATGCTGGCATCGTTCTGTCATGCTGGCTCTCACGTGCACCCGTGGCCAGCCCTCCGCCTATGAAGTGTGCGGCGTCATTGGGAGCTTTGATCTGTTAGTCTTTGGCGGCAGTCTTTCTCCATGTTTGGGCTAACGCGACACGATCGTCCAAGAGGTCGTCATCCGACTCATTCCGTGCCGTATTCTTCGTGGCAGGTCTGTTATTTTGGACCTTCTTGGGTGCCTCTTTTGACCCTCCTGGCCCGTCTTGGGGCCCTCATGTGTACGTGTGCGTGCGTGTGGTCGAGGTTGCGATTGA